TGCTGTGGTGGATGCTTGTCTGTCACGATGACAACATTTTGGGCTCTTAACCTGTAGTTCGTTGTCATATTTTGTCTTATGACATTCTACAACCTTTCTTTCACTCTATCTTCATTTTTTTTCTCCTAGGTCTGTTTCACTGTTTTTTTCCTCCCTTTTCCAGTCTTAAAGCTCCAGCACTGAGAAATTTTCTTCTCGATCATTTTCTCTTCTTTTTTTTCCTTATCTGTCTCTTCTGCTTCTAGCTGTCAACTCGATAACACTGTTCTTGTCCATTGGTAAGTATATTTTTTTTCAGGTTCTGGTCCTTAGTAGTTCAGCCTTCCCGAAATGATTGCTGTGTGTCACAGGTTGCTTTAAAAAGCCTCTTAGAGCAAACTGTTCTAAACCGTCAGTTTTCTAATGTGCCTGGAGGTACCCTCACAGATAACCTTGAGGAGGAAAATCAATCTGAAACTTCATTAGGAGCATTGCATAGATGTCTGTGCTGATGTAATGTGCTCTGATTCCCCGTTGGGAACTGGGCAGGGTTTTGGCTGCAGAATGTGGCTGGTGGTGTAGCATGGCACAGCGAACAGTCTGGGGGTCTGGGAGGAAACAATTGCCCTGATCCAAACAAGATGTGCAGATGGCATTAATTAAAAACTTCTCTTTCTTTGAGGTAGCCTCTTTGTGTTTTCAGAGATGACAGAAAAGAAAAAACCCCAAACTTCTTAGGCGTCTGGTTCAACCGAAATGGTAACTGCAGAAGGTTCTGGATCACAAGCGAGCATAAAGCTGCAAACACAAGCAACTGGCTGTGTTATACAGCTGGGGAGAAGAACAGCCAGGAGAGAAACGTTAATCAGAGCTCCAGGAGAGTCTTGGACATCCCAGACTTGGTGTTGATCGGGCACCTCATCAAACAGGAAATTGCTTTTCCAGGGTCATCTGGGATCTCGGCACAAATCAGCACGTCATCAGCATAATAATCGCAACTAAAATGATGCCTTTGCCTGAGGGGCACCTCTGCACACTGTGTTCTGTGAACAAAATATTCAGGGCGAAACTAACAGCATTTTAGTTTCCTGATGGAAAGACACAGGAAAAATGAAATTCTGACACTTTTCCTTGAGGTGGACAACATGTTGATGACCCTTCTCATGCACAAACTTGTGCTGTCTTCTCAGCTCAGCCCAAAGAGTGTGAGGTTTGGGGAGGCTCCAGTGTGCGACCAAACTAAAGCTGTGCTGCTGTGCCTGCAGTCCGCCAGCGAGATGTGTCTTAACGCCCTTGCTCATACAGACGCCTATAAACACGGCGATGGGCGTGGGGGTCAGTGGTTGTGGCAACATGTTGCTCTGTGGGTCCATGGGCTGGAGGAGCACCGTAGGCAACTCTAACAGCCTCACAAGCCACCTGAGACCATTGTGGCCACTTGTCCCTCTGTGAGCTGAATCTCCTACCTGACCCATAGCAAGAAGCATCCTGTTTCTCCGTCTTGCTGTCAACTCAGCTGTGCTCCCCAGTTACTCCCATTTTGCCTGCTGAGCCAGCAAGTCCGTTAAGCCACAACTCTGTCTGCATCCTCATCCTCATCTCTGACAGTAACTGTGTCACCAGTGTGTCTCACTAGCAAGACTGTCACATTGGCAAAGGTACACTGTGAGCTTGTTGGGGAGAGCACAGGGAACTGAAACCTGAGGAGGTGTGCCTTGTACTTTGGGCTTCTTGGAACAGCCCATTAATTCCTGTTTGCTAAGGATGGCGGGTAGCAAAAGAACAGGAGAAAGCTAGTGAGCATGGCGCAGCCTGGCACGGTGGAGTTGCCGTGGGTCTGAGGTGCCTGGGAAAAGCACACGACGGCTGCTGGCCGCCTGTTCATTTTCTCGAGTACCTGGCATCCCCTCTGGCACTGTGGCAGGTTTTGAAGCACGTTTCCTAGATCCTTGCGGCTAAGCTGGAAATAATGCGTTTATAAGATCAGAGGCAGTTCACGGCTTCAGTTAAGTGCCTTGAAAAGGCTGAGTCACTTGTGCGGGGAGGTGAGCTGCCCCGGGATCGGGGTTTCCTTCTGAACACGTCTTTTGTTATTGCTGCAGACTCTGCTGGTGCTCTGCCGCAGTGGGGCTGCCGCTTTCTCACTGGCTTTGAGCACATCCGTCCTGCCGTGGCCTCGGTAGGCTGGACTGTGTGTTCCTTCCCTTAAAATGATTAACGGAAATCTGGGCGTGCCTGAAAAGCATTGAGCAGCAGAAGGTACTGTCGAGATTTGGGAAATTAGGCCTGATCCAAGACTCGTTAAAGCTGGTGGCAGTCTGTCTTCTGACTGTAGGGGTCACACCCAGTCTGATATTGTCAGTGTACAATGTGGGGCAATTTTTTAAACCTGGAGCATAGACGTAAACGTGACAGAAGCGTGGAGATCTCCCTTCCCTTGCTGAGCTTCACCACTGCACCCTGACCCAGGGAAGCCACTTAGTTCCTACAGCTCTTGGATAAGGTCAACAGGTTTCACGAATGCACGAATGCAGAAGTAATTACCCCAAATCTTCATGGGGATTTTCAGCACTGTAAGCTCGAGGTGACTTGCCCATTGCTAGCCTGCCTGCCTCCTGGCTGTGCTTGAAGTTTGGGATTTGCAGCTGGAGCTGTTTGCTTGTCTCTTCCCAGCAGGTAATAACGTCACTAATTAGTTTCCTGATTTGTGCTGTCCAAATGTACCTGAATTTCTAGGAATTAAAGCCTGCATGGAACCCGACACTGCGGTGAATGCAAGTGGAACTAGGACTTGATATATTAAAAATATTGATATGTTACAAAAAGAAGTTGTGGCCTGGGGGGTACCTCAAGTGGATCCTGCTGTGGGTGACATTGTGGGCACTGTGGTGCTTCGTTACTGTCCTGGTAACAGATTTAGAAGTCGCTGACTATTCTTGATGATAAAACACGTCCTCAGGCTGCTTCAGCCACAGACCTGAGAGGATTAGTTTTGGGGAAAATCAGACCAAAGATAACAATTTAAATTAGAGTAATTTTAAATAACCTTGGATGTGAGACTCTTAGATCCTTGTATTGTGCAACTATTGAGCACAATGTTGTATGTTGGTATGGCTAGACCTCGCAAAAATCATGAGTGTCTGTGCATTTTGGGTCAGGTTTGTGTTGGGGAATGGCTTTTTGATGAAAGAACTTAAAATATATGTCAAACAGAACTGTGGCATAGGAGTTGGCACAGGTTGACAGGAGTCCTCTCAGTGAAAATATTTTAGCAGTGGAAGAAAATGCACATGGTGAATGTCTTTGTGCTGTGTCATCATGTGGTGCCATGTAATGTGACCCAGGAGATGCTGTGACAAAAGGAGTTGGGGGAGAAGGGCCATGGGGAAGGTCAGGCAGAAGGTGGGCCAGGTTAGGGTGGGTGCTGCCAGATTGGTTCTGGAGCTGACTCCTGGGACAGTGGAGCATGCGAGGAGGGCATGTGCTTTTGCCTTAGGATCTGTGACGTAGATCCACACTCTTCATCCAGGGGCTGTCCTGTTGCCTGCGTGGTGCTTCCTTCACCCTTTGCTCATTAAATGTGGGAGGTTAAACACGGAGGGGTTGCTTTGCCTGCTCCTGAAAGGAATCTGGAATCAGGCAACCTGTGGCCAAAAAAAAGGATATTATATTAAACTGATCTGTGTTATGTAGCCTCAGAGGTGCAGAACTTCCCCCTCAGCCTGCCCGCTGGCTCCTGCGTGCCATGTGTGTCCGGAGCGGTCGGCAGGAACAGGAGAGGAACCAAAGCACTTTGCCATTTGCAACTGAATAGCTGTGAACTTGTTGGGTTTCCTGGCAGCCGTGGCCTCAGTTTCCCCAGAGCCCCGATAGCTTTTACCTCATGTGCTGGCTCATCTGCTGATGAACGTGGCTCTTTGGGTCAGTTCAGGCCATGACTGTGACTCAGAGCTTTTGGTTTTTTCTTCGTTGTCTACCCTGTCCTTTCATCTCTGATTTCCATAATCTAATATTTGGGGCACCAGTAAAAATATTTAAGCATTTTGCTATGATTGCAATACCACTGCAGCTCTTTTGCCTTTTGGGAATGGGCTGTGACCATCTGATCTAGACGGCGTTTTGAACTGTTTGACTATTTGGAAGGAAGAATGAGCTCTGCACTCCTGCATGGACCTGGGATGAGGCAGATGCATCAATGACTTGCCTGGTGTCTTCTCAGTCTCCAGAGCTGTTTCATTGTGTGTATTCTGCATCTGAGAATAACAGCACCTTGGAGCCAGATCATGCTAGGAGGGAGAAGTTATTTTAAGCTGTCACATCTGAAGAGCAGTAATGTCAGTTTTCCAGCCCTTTTTTTTTTCTTTTTCTTTTAATTACTAGTTTTAAGCATCATTAAGTAAAAAGAAATGAAATAATGGCTGAACAGCTATATTAATGTAAAGCTATGGCCATGGTACAGCCTGGTGCTCAGCAAGGGCATAGTTAAGCTGTGCCATGGTCTCTGGGTAGAACTGGACATGCTGAGGGGATGTCTTCTCTAAGTTACTTTCCTGTGACCCAGGAATGCATTAACCTTCTTGTGCCTGAACTCGCCAAGTGACTGGTGTGGTCCTTGCGGACTGGGAAGGAAAGAGGTTGTCTTCTCCAATGGGTCTGTGTTTTGTGCGTTGATGAGGGTGTTAGGTTGGTAAGATCAGAACCACCTGGAACCGTTCAGGATGGAGACGGTGGAAACGACTGACCTTGTATTCATTCCTCTGTGTAAGTCCTCTTTGCAGGACTGCTGAAAAAGCTGGTGACAGATCAGTGGTTAAAGAATGATCTTCACCTAGTGATAGTATTATTTCTTGTTTCTGCTGAGCACAAGGCACCACCAGGTGGTTCTTCTTCACAGTTTAGAGTGTGACTAAAATTTCTTTTTCAGGCACTTTAGACAAATGGGATTTATTTAATTTCTTTTCCAGCTCTTCCCGTACCCTCTGAGCTCTGTCCTGAATTTCCACATTCCCTTTTCCCTGCAGAATGAAGTGGAGCTGGGAGAGCTGCTGTTGTCACTAAACTACCTACCCAGCGCAGGAAGACTGAACGTGGACATCATTAGAGCCAAACAGCTTCTTCAGACAGACATGAGCCAAGGTTCAGGTAAAGGGCAGCGCATTTCTCATGTTACTCATGCACAGATTATATGTGCTTTTAAAGCAGATCGGTGGTGAGGCTGCAATTTGTCGGCAACCCAGGTGAATTTGGATGCTCAGTTCCTATTAATTCAAGGCTCATTTTATATATATAGCAAACAATAACAAAAGTTATTGGGGCACTTACTCCAAAATAAAATTGAAGGTGTGAATACCTTTGCCATATTTGAAGTAAAAGTCTCTAAACCATGGTGAGGTAAGGAACCAGAATCTCTGAATTACCCGTGTGTTGTGTTTGGTTTGTGGCTGTGCTGTGTTTTGCAGATGCTGTATGCTGCTGGAGCGTCAGCATCGCGGTGGTTTTGTTTACGATATCTCGCAGCTTTGGGGATGGGGTGAGGTTTTTGCGATATCCAAGTGTTGCTCTCTGCCATTTCTGAGTGTGTTGGCTGGTAATTGCTTCATGTGTATGCTCTCAGGTGTTTTTCCCATGTTCCGAGTCCCAGCCACTGCTGCCAGAATATTGGCATTTTCCAAAAAGAGCACTATGCTTGGCTTCTGTCAAGACTGTCATTAATTGTGGTTTTGGCAGGGAGCATTTTTAATCCAGCTGCTTGACTTTTGTTTCCACTGGAAATCCCTGGGAGCGGTACGACGGTACAAGTCCCAGACCTTTGCAAATGCTGTTTTCCAGCACTGTCCATCCCTGTGATGCCCACCCTCCGCAAACCAGGTACTGAGTCATGACAGCTGTAACGCAGAGCCTGTGTTCGGTGTTTTTGTCAGATCCCTTTGTGAAGATTCAGCTTGTTCATGGATTAAAACTAACAAAAACCAAGAAGACCTCCTGCATGCGAGGGACAATAGATCCCTTCTACAATGAATCCTTCAGCTTCAAGGTTCCACAGGAAGAACTGGAGAACGCCAGCCTAGTGTTCACAGGTAAATTTGGTGATGTTGCTGACTTGGCATGGTCCTGGTTGTCTCTGAGGTGAACAAAGAAGCAGTTGTGGGTGTGCGGATGAGCCCGTACAGGATGGTGTCTGCCCCAGTTGCCACCTTTTAAGGAGTGGCCATCGCTACAGTCTCCAGGGAGGCTTAATTAGCAGTCTGTATTCTGCAGAAGCTATTCCCAGCATTGCCAGCTGATAACTGGAGCTGGCCAGGAGTGCACCTCATCAGTCTTGGGCTTAACTGGTGCCCTTGGGAGTGCTTTTGTGCAGGGGAGGAGGTAGCATTAATTGCACTTCTTGGCAGCAAGCAACTTGGCCATGAAGTCAAAAATTGGAAGAATGAGAGGGAAATGTTAAATGATCCCAGAGCCTAAACACTGGCAAACTTCTGGTACTTCACATAATTTGTTGGTGAGATGAAGCAGCTATGGGTATTTGACACTGACATCAGCTGTTCTGTGAGCAGATTTGTTTGTGCCTTTATTTTCAGAGGTCTGGGTCCCAGTGCCAAGCCCTGCGTGGCACAGCTGAGGTAGACCAAGACACAGACCAAGTGGGCCATAGGCCAAGAGGAGTCCCAGAGCTTGAGAGCTTTGTCAGTGCTGGAGATGTGTGGCCAAGATAGGAATTCTTATTTCTGAACAGTTTCTGAATCTTCTGTTCTTGTGCTTTAGGTGTGAAAAAACAGTCCATGGGAATTGATGATGGGCTGTCCCGCGGGGGAGTCCCTGGCTGTGCTCTCACTGCAGGCTGGACAGCACTGGTGGGGCTGAGCTGAGGCCATGAACCCACCGTGGCCAGTGGCCTCTTCTGCTGTTCCACAGTGTGGAGGTGTTGGGCACGGCTGCAGGGACCCCTCGGGAGTGGTGGGTTTCCCTCCCACACTGTGACTTCTCCCAGCCTATGTGTGCTGTGAAGGTGGGCACCATCAGGAGTAGGATCAGATCTTGGGCTCTGGAGGTGCAGAGAGGCTGGAGAGTGGAGCTCATGCTCTTCTGTCATGGTGGGTTCACATGATTCACAGACATGGGTTTTTTTGGTTTTTAGAGGTTTTTTTTGTGGGTGGGTTGTTTGTTGTGTTTTTTTTTTTGCAATTTCCACCTATTACTCATCAGGCTGCCCAGAGAGGTTGTGGAGTCTCCTTCTCTGGAGACATTCAAAACTCGCCTGGACGCATTCCTGTGTGACCTGCTCTGGGTGATCTTGCTTTGGCGGGGGGTTGGACTAGATGATCTTTCGAGGTCCCTTCCAACTCATAGCATTCTGTGATTCTGTGATCTTTCAATGAAGAGAAAGGAATCTAGTTCTATCTATTTCTGAAAGAATGTATTTTGAAGTATTTTAAAATTTTCTTACGTGGCAGGTACAGGTGTCAAAGTTGGTACAAGGAGCCTAATTCCAAGCCATTAGTTTGTTTCCAAACATGTTCTAACAAAAGCGATGCTGATCAGCAATTCAGATTTTGCCCTTCATGCTCAGAAATTTCCTCAGCAAAAAGTCAAAATTAATCACTGCTTTGCGTGCACATCACCCTGACTGTACGTTGCATGTGCAGTGATGAATTTGCTCTTGGAAGCTTCTATCAGGTGATCTTGTGAGAGCCGTGAAATGCTCTTTTCTTTGTTTTCCCCTTTTCCCAATAGAAGAAGAAAAGGCAAACAAAGTAGTGTCTCTGTGCAGTTGGAAGGGTGAGGGAAATGCGCAGCTCCTCACCACGGCTGATGAAGTTATCATTAATGAGTGAATGTCTGTTGTTTTTTTTTCCTGTACAAATGGATGTGTTCTCAGTTAAGTCAACGCATTCAGATTTCAGTGACATGTCTTGTAAGTGGTGCTTCACTTCAAGTGATGTGTCACTTGCTTTGAATGTTGCAATAAATAATCCTGGGCCAGAAATCTCACCAGCAGCTCCAGAGCTGGGAAGGAGCGTGCAGAGATCTTTGGCGAAGCAGCGGGGCCGGGTTCTGGTGGATGCTCTCAGATGGAAGGGTCGGGCATGGCACGGCTGTGGGTGTCGGGCTTGCTGCTTTTGCTGTGGTCAGGACTCTGTAGTTTGTGATCTGTGCTTTGTGATCCGTTACGCAGCTGGAGCCAGAGGTGGTGTTTGTGTCGCTGTCTTCTACTGGTTTGGTGTCTGTGCTGCCTCCTGTTGTTAGAGGAGCCAGGAGCCTGTCGTGTTGTGAGGACTCAAGCACAGGTGTCTGCAGTGTCATGAGAGTGAGGTAGTTCAGGGGACTGAGTGATGGAGAAGATGCTGAGCTGTGTTCAGTGTTCACCTAAGTGATGGAGATGTTCTGGCTATTGGGGGAGGCATGTCCTCAACAGGGAGCGCATCTTGTGTGCTCCTCAACAGGGAGCGCATCTTGTGTGCATCCACAAGTTTTTAATAAAATGAGTGTCAGTGTACAGCTTGGCTGATGTTCTGGGAGGAGGATGGTGGTGTTTCCCATGTTGCTGCCTTCTCAGCACGTTAGGGTGTTGCACAGCTTATAAGCTTGTAAAGGGCTTTGAGATCTTCTGTTAAAAGATAATAAAGAGCAAATGGTTGTCAGTATGAAGAAGCTGTACATTGCAACGTGAAGATCTTTTTGTTATTTTGTGCCTCTAAAAGCAGGAGCAGAAGCCACGTTTTTTTTCTCTATTTTCTTTTTGGTTTACATGTTTTTTTGTTTTGGTTTTTTTTCCCTGCAGTGGTAGTTCTTTTTGTCGTGTGTTTTGTGGGAGCTGGTTTTTATTTCTTATTTTTTTTTTCAATCCACAGCTCTAGTCCATTAGGTCAGTTAATTAAATTTGCTGTTGAGTCAAAGTCCAACTGAAAAGGAGAATAATCCTGCTTGAAGGGTGGGTGACGATGCTTTGTATGGAGAGAAAGCTATAAAAGCAGTCATGGGAGCCAGAAGTGAGTATATCTTCAATAATTTAAAGGAACCTTTTTTTGTGGCTTCATATTTTGGACCCAGTCTGCAGCTGTCTTTACATTGGCTTGGCTTCACTGGAAAGCAGTGGAGCCGTGCCAGGCCCTATCAGCTCAGGCTCCCCCCGTGTGACTGGTACCATGCTGCAAAGTAAGGCACTATCTAGACAAAGTAAGATTAATTGCTTGGCATATATTTTTTTTTTTCTCCTGTGTGTTTTTCTCCTGTGCATCTTGAATCAAACTGCCTGGGGTTAGCGCACTGTGGTAAGAATTTAGGCACCGTTTTGCTGCAGCTTTAGCAAGGACGGTGTGCGCAGGCACTGCGGGTGGGCGGCTTTCGGTGAGGCACCGAGCTGCTCCCTCCTTTCCTGGTGGGGCTCTGGAGAGCTGGACTTGGGACCGAAGGCAGGGCTGGAGTGCAGCCAGACCAGGAGATGGGCAGTGGGTGCCTCCAAGATGGGGTGAGCTCTGCATTAGCCGAGGTTTGGGAAGGTTTAGGCTGTTGCTTAGCTCTTTCCTCCTCCTTAGGCATACTAGGATTCAACACTGTAAATTATTGGTGTTTACAGATCAAAATGCTTCTTCCACGTGGGAGCAGGACACCTTGCACAAGCTGTAATTCTGCCTTTCTCTCTGTTCCTACTTACTGGGGCTGTCACTAACTCACACCCCAGTGTAGTGCCTAAAATGAGGTGGCATGAGCTCAGGAGGAGCCATCCTTTCCAGGAAAAGGCATCCAGGGTCAGGAGCACTGCTGCAAGTATTGTCTGTTCAGAGATTCTCACCGAAAGAGGCTAAAACCAGGAAAACAGCCGATACTCATGGCAAGTCTAATGTCCTGACAGAAAAAAGATGAGGAGGCAGCAGCTAGGGGAGAACGTGTTTGATGGAGTAAATGAAAATCAACGTGTTGTCTAGGCAATGAACATGCATATACATACTGTAACAGAAATGCAGTTTTTTGGGTGTTCTTTTTCCACTTTTTGTTTGTTTGACACGCATCCCCTATGTGTCATCTTCTGCTCCAGTGCAAACAAGTCCTGGGTTCACCTCTTGCAGAGAAATGAGACAGGCTTTAAAAGACAGCATGTTCTCCTAACCACGGATACCTGTGAGCAAAGGTGTTAATTATTCTTTGTCCCATGGTAAGGGGAAGGTGGCGTTTGCCCCAGGCAGCAGGGCTGTCAGCTGCTGCCCAAGGTCATTTCCAAGCAGAAAGAAAAGAGTATTTGAGGTGTGACTGCAGCCTCTGCATTCGAGAGGGCTGGATGCTGGGTGCCTAGAGATACTGCGTTCTCCCCGCTGATGGATTTTGGACAGGCTGTCCTCTAAACCCCTGCCTAACCTCCGGAAAGCCTGGGCTGTGCATCAGGAGGTGAGAGAACACCTGAAATGCGAGCACTGTGGTATTTTGTTAATGATTATAATGCTGTTAATAGCAGTTGTTGGTAATGCTGTTTGTGTTGCAGTAAAGCCCAGATGGCCCAATAAAAGCCACCAGTGCTCCAGGGCAAACTGCATCTTGGTGACACGTTAACATCTTTTGATCACTTACCATAAAAACTACAACCTTCAGCACTCACAGTTAGGGAATATATCTCTCCCCGAGGTCCTGTAGTGACTGCATATGTCTTTCTCCATCTAAATAAGCTCTTGTACATGTTTACGTGACAGGATCTTTAGAGCTAGTGAAGAAAGCAGGGTCCTCAAAGTCAGAAAGATCATTTTGGTTCTCTGGGTGCCATCTGTGCTGATGCAGAGGGAAAACCTGCTTTGCTGGCTGCCCTGGCTGAGCGCGTAGCCAGAGCTGGGACAGGCACCGAGGCTGATGGTGTCTGGTGGGGAGCGATGGTGGGGCTTGTCCCACTGCGCCGTTCCCGTGTGGAATGTGGCAGCACAGGACACTCTGCCCACTCCGGGACAGGGTTTGCTTATGGGCCTTGGTGTGTGTGTGACAGCTGATGAGGTCCTCATCGTGAGCACCGGCTAAGGACGCAGCTCACAGCGCTCTCCCTTCTAAACCGTTTAGTAGGATTTTCATAGAATCATAGGTTACCAGGTTGTTTTATATG